AACAGATGTCATCATGATATTTTGAAGCTAATGTAGGATTGAATACTGAATTGGCATTCGTTGGTATGTCAGTCACTGGGTTGGCAACAATTCGTAATGATCTCATGTGTTTGGTGATTTGTCTCCTTCACTGAGTGATGGAGAAACCAGTCATCTATTATGGGATGTCCCTGGCATGGAATTTGACTCAGCCATTACCTTGAACATCAGAGGTGAACACCAGAGGTGCAGAGCTGAGAACAAAGTAGTAGAAATTCGTATGTCTACATTTACTACAAACTTCAACAGAAGTTGTCTGTTTATATGTATAAGTATGCATTCTTGATAACAATAACACAGTAACAAAACCACTCATCTACTGTGCACTATTAAAAGTGTGATGATAATAGCTCTCAATCTACTAGCTGTTGAATGTGCTAGATAAATTTGAGTTCTGAAATTGAAACAAATTTTCAGGTTAGGTTTGATGATGCCATGCATCAATATGGGCAACCCATTAATTAACAAGTCTGGGCATCAACTGAATTCGAGCGAATTAATTTTAAAAACATCAAAGTGAGATGATTTTAACTTTAACAACAGTGGTAGTAATTGGTAGTCATGAGAATATAAACTAAATCAAACACAGGTTTCATTGATATTTATTTCTCCTAATAATAATATAATTGCAATTTTTGAGTCAAGAATACATGTAAAGAATTACCAAATAAAAATAATCTGCACATAAAAATCTAAATTTGTACATTGAGTGAATTCTGTATTTGCTCTGCCAGGATATTAATGGTTCTTGCATTTACATATTTTAATAATACAAGACAATAAATGCAGTTTTGGTTTGAGTATACTATGATAGTGATATTAAATGATTATAATAACTACAGGCTCAGTAACATTTACCCCATAAAACTTCTCCTCCAGTTTTATTTCTTGAAAGCTATTAAAATGTAAATGAATGTTTAAATTTTAAGTTTTCATCAAATATTAAATTCAATAAAAAGGTTTTATTCGGGAAATATTATGACCTAATTCTGCAGGCACTTGATATAAGGTATCCAGATGAATGATTAGACAATTAGAAAACGGACTGTAATTTTTATTTTACATTATTATAGAAATAAAATGGTCCTCAGCGGAGATTAATGCTGGAGTTCTTTTTTGTTTGATTTTCATTTGAATTGATATTGCTTTCTTAGTACTGTGTTATCACACTAGTATTTGCATAACACTGAAATCATAATATTCTGCCTGTCTGTGTATAATATAGCCCTATGTTGGGAAGTTGGAGTCAAACTAGATCCAACTGGGCATGTGCCAACATTTATGTGTTGAAACGTTTTTAGTAATGATGAATCTAAAACCCAGCAAATACTCACATATATGATGATTGAAATTACTAGAAGATAAAAATGTTTTCAATTTAACGATCATATCTGAATAAACTTATATCCATGACCAGCTGTTCTAAAACACCTATGATATCATGTTGCTATTCATGAAATAGAGCCTGAGCTGAATTCTACTTTCGTTGCTGAATTTATGTTTCGTGATAATAGTAAGCAATTTCGAGCGGTGTTCAAGAAAATTATTATAGTATTAGCATATTCCAAAACTATGCCATGTTCATGAAAATATCTTCCCTACTTTCTCTCAAGTAATTGACCATTGATATGTTACTTCATTACTTTGATCAATGAGTACATGATTTTGACATATGCTGACTAGGTTCTCTTCCTGGTATATAAACATGGCATCAATAATCCTTATACAAACATAAAAGATTAACTATCTTGATCAGAGTTTGCCATTGAGAACATGGATTATTTTTCTCATGAATAGATATTGCAGTCTTAGTATTGTGTTATCATACTAATATTTGAATAACACAGAAATCACAATATTCTGCCCTTGAATTAAAAATAATTCTACCTGCATTTAATTTTCAGGTGCTATTAAATTAATACACTTTGACACAATAAATTTCAAAATATCGCACATGAGTAAATCAATTCTATGAACCTGTTTTTGATTGGCTGAAAGTGCTGTATTTAAACCAATGATGGTTTAATTAAACATTGAAGAGAAATTCTACACAATTGATGTATTCCATGAAATCTATAGAAAACATGCAATCTATAATTTATGATTGTGACTTAAGTTTTTTTTTATTTAAGAGCAGAAACTTCTCTTGCTGACAGAGTTAATGATTTAGGAGAATGGTCCAACCATTCTCAAGATGTTTGTACAACAGCTGTATAATAAAATACTTTTCCTGTAAAGTGCTCATAAAAGTTTTTATTTAGCTTGGCAGTGAAATGAAAAACAGCTGCAATATTTCTGTGTCTACCACTGTATAATTATTATTCAAAGTACAATATTTTATATATGTATTATTTAGTTTTCACATTATTGGAAAGATCAGGTCCACTGAATAATGTTCAGGTGCAAGATAAATATTTATGACATTCTTTTTATTATATAATAATTAAATATTTGTGTGCTTTCAAGAAAAACTGAACTGAACTGAATTTTGATTTATTTTTTCATTTTTTTTTTCAGAACAAAAATTAGATGTTTCTGAAGATGTTTTGAGTGACTCCATAGTAAATATGTTATGCTGCACCTAATCTAAGCAAACTCAAACAATGTCTAGTTACTGTGATACGGTGCGATTATTTGGAGGAATCCCTCTCTTCTTGAAGTAGTCAACCACCTGCTTAGGAACTTCGGCTAAAACTGATTTTGCTAATGCTGCAGGACTTGCCTATAAGAGAGAACAAAAATACTTTTAGAAAGATTTTACACTATTACAGATGTCACAACTTCGTGTTTGAATGAATTATAGATTTTTATAGATTGTTTTTATTTCCAAACACTACATAGGAGGTGTTATATACTGAATATATCCCATAATTTGCCAAGCATAAATTGTGATTTCCATATTTGTTATTTTTCACAATATTTATTAAGCCCATAGGAATCTTGTTATGAGTTGGATTCTTATGGTACATACTTTAGTTGTTTACAATAACTTACAGAAAGACAGACACATGACCTCTATTAGTAACCCATCTATAAACACACTCTGCTAAGAGTACCATTTATTTATTAATGTTTGTAAATTGAATGATGGTGTCCCTGATTAAATAAGACATGGCTTTTACTGTCTCTATGTGGTCATCCTTTCAACAGGTTGCTATGGCAACCTACATACAGCTCATAATAAGTGTATTATTGACTTATCAGTAAACATCAGTATCAAACCTATCAATTTGAATGTTAAATTTATCAAACTATATTTTCTATTAAAGTTAAAATGAAACACACAGAGCACTTAAAACGTCAAGGTTACAAATTTAAGCAAAATGATTATGTTGGTATCCAGGCATCACTATCTATTTAATTGTGTGCGACATTTAAAATAATTACATTTTAGCTTGTCTCACTGAAGACCTGTTACATCATTGCCTGCTGACAATGTTTTTATCCTATTTATTTTTGTCATCTATTGAGGCTTTTAGCAGGTGATATGTGTTATTAATGTCCTTCGTCCCATAGGTGGAAACCACTCTTAAAAACTCCATGAATGTTATTACTGTTGCTATGATAACAAGAATAGCACATTATCATCACTGCGTCACCACTAAAGGTATAACAGTGGGTGATTTGAGAGATTGTCAGTCAGATTGTCATTTTCCATTAACCTTCACATTCCAAATCAAGTTGAAGTGTTTTTACATTTACGAACAAGTGATATTTATAGTTCTTTTGGTAATAAATCTACCTAAAATATTTTTTTGTCAAAGATTTTTCAGAATTGCATATCTTTCTTTATGAACAATATACTAGATGAATTGTATCAATTCAATTCACAAAACCCTGACAAACTGATGTGACTGTACTTTCAATAGATTAAGAATATAGGTAATATGAACACATCAAATGAAATTTTACCTTGGTTCTGACATTTCTATGATAAACCAACAGTAATTTTTAAACTACAAACAAATTTCCACAATAAACTGGTGCAACCAAGATGTAGTAAGATTTAGAATTAGGTGATATTTTATTCCAATTTCAAGACAAACAATACGTGATATTTAAAAACCAAATACATGCAAGTATAATGCCAAATCATAAACTTAGAGAATAGCGACCACAATACAGTACACAGCAATGTTTGCGATTGGAAAATTTAAGGATATTTGCAAGTTTGGGAATTTTTCAGAACTCGCTATGAAAATAGAATTTGAGTTAGGGGCAACAAAAAAATGTTCATTAACTCAAAAATTCTATTACCCCAAAAAATTGCTTGTTATTACCCAACAAATTTTCATATATTTGGTAACTCATTTTGATTGGCCAATTTGTTCTTCTGGTCATACCTAATTGTTTTCTCTATAAAATAGCTTTCTTTGTTATATAACATCCATGATAATTTACACACTAATGTAAACAAATTACAGTTTTCCGAACACCAACAAAACTGTAACATGTATTATATATATTTGGGGGAGGAAGGGTTTTATTACTGAAATGGAAGCGAAATGGAGGAACGCTTCTTGATGACATATGACATTTCCATTTACAGTTATTAACCTTTACACCACCACTTCCCTCTTTTCATCACAAATTCACAAAATAGTCCTGTTTATAGTCTGCATAGTAGTTTATAGTCTTTCCTTCAGAAGATTGCGACAAAAATAGCCACATTTTTTTAGTAAATACTGAAAATTGACTAAAATTTTGTCTGTTGGCTCCAAAATTAGAGTACATTTCCAGGAATATTGAAAATTTTAAGAAAAAAGTGCAGACAAATTTGGGCGGAAAAGTCTGGTGGTGAAAAAGCTTAATCACATTTCAACTTGTGCACAATTATACAATTTTAAAATATTCCTTTTTTGAAAGTATGCAGTGCATACAACATTATACCAGTATTCAAGATAACTCAAATATAAATGAGTTTTAATAATCAAATGTTACAAAGCTACAAATAGGAATTTCCTCTACCACAAAATATTAGAACAATTGTTAATACAAAATTGAAATTTACAACTAAAAAACTATACGGTCAAATTTTGTGTATCAAGTAAATAATGTAATTTTCCCATGTATACCTTTGTATTGGATTCATATCAAACATAACACAGTGTAATGCCTGTGGCGCTTCAATACAAGACACATTCTGTTACAACAATTTAACAGTGGTTGTATTGTATCGTCATGTAATTTAATATACTTACGCTTTGAAAATCTCTGAATGGTACAAACTGCACAATATCCCTAGCAACCTTTTCACCTCGTACAGTTCTGAGAACGCCATCATCACCGTCTAGCACTTTCATATCAGAGAAGTTAGCATTGCCAACACCAATTATAATAACCGACATTGGTAGATTGGATGCATGTACGATAGCTTCGCGCGTTTCATCCATGTCAGTTAATACTCCATCCGTTAACAACAATAACACGTAATATTGCTGGCAAAAAAACAATACATGTTATAGTAGATTGTTATTGAAATTAACACACATTATCACACAAGATACAATTAAATCTCACAAAATGTCTGTGTCTCTCAATAATGAAAACAGTGTAATTTTCACCACTAGGATTTTGTGCAATTTCATGATTTGTTCAAGTTGCTGTGACTCTTTACGACCCATGTCAAATTTTCCCAAAATTTCATGATTTTCAACAATTTGTGAACAATTTTTTTCTCGTAAAATGATAAAGCAGTTATCTATTTTCGTTATCTGAATCACAGTATCCATTTAATGTTAGTATTCCATAAAAATACTCAAGTACTACCTTGACAGTAATCAAATTTCCCCCAAATACCAACTATAATCCTATACCTAAATGCACAGTAATCAAATTTCCACTGAGTAAATTTAAACTGATGTGTACAATTTTCATTGTATGGATATGGCATGTTTTGCATTATTAAGAATGAATGAAATAACATACTGACGCTCCGGGCTGTCTCTGAGCTTCCTGTGCAAATCTAGCCACATGATGTATAATTGGAGAGGCATTGGTTGGTCCCCAGAGTTTTACTTGTCGGATACAATTTTCATACGCTTGTAAAATGCCTTGCACACCTTGCACAGAAAAATAATGTTGTAGAATGAAATTAATGCCAACACTGAATGAAGATTTACAGAAAATAATATTGGACTATAGGCTGAGCAAGTCCATCCATCCATCATAAAATCTATACAATATATATATTGATTTATATGTAAAAATAAAATGCTAATATATGTGTATCTATTGTATGTATAAACATGATTCAGAGAAGCCTGTGTCACCTGTGCCATCTGAGAGAGTAACAATCTCTTTCTCATAGGCATCTGTAATTGGTATTACCTCATTAATATTCATGAGTAGTTGATGTAATAAGACACACAAGCATTGTGGAATGAATGAATGCATGTACTAGACTAGACAGGGCAGTAGACAACAACTGTTGACTCAGAGATTTGAATTCAATTCATCATTGAATGCATAAATACATTTAGAGCCGTGAATTTATGATACCGGTAATTATTGTAATTTTTAGCTCATCCAACAGAACAGTATAAACAACAATGAGTTGTAAATTTCAATAATTACTGGCAATGTAAAAATCATGTCAGTTTTAGTGATTTGTTGTCTGATTCAGTTAAGCAGTTATGTCATAGAAAATCGTTCTCCCTCAGCGTAGCGTGGAATGTTCCAAAACTTGGCGAGTGTTCATGCTTTTGGTTGTGTGTGTTTAACATTCTATAAGGGTATGACACAGCACATTCCATTTTCATTCAAACCATGTAGCCTCTGAGTTGTATTCAAGTTTTACTTATGGCAGTCATTGAGAAGGAACAAACACAAATTGGCCTCAATCATTCAGTAGAAAAAGAGAACATCGGAATTTGTCATTTTTTAAATTTGTTCATGAATCACAGACATAAATCACTATTTTCATCACCATGCAAAATAACGTTTCTTTTTTAGTGGTAACCCGGTTTTTGTTGTAACACTCCTATAAGATATTATTTTTATGAAAAAACAACACAAATAACCAATGGACTGTAAGCAAGACTATCGATATGTTGGAAACTTGCTTGATTGAGCCTGTTCTTCAAACTTTTAAATTGTAACTTGATGTTGGAGGTAGAAAGTATAAGTAGAAGTAGTTGTTTAATGCACTGAATTTAACATTGCAATGACGGAAATCATATAATTTGATAATAAACAATGTTTTTTATTTATTAATTATTTTGCATGCTATTTATAACACCCTCACATTCCAAATATAACAGAAATTTGTACTTCAAGTGGCATTTGTGACATTCAGTGGATAGTAAAAGATTCTATAGTTTCCTGGCTGTGTTGATGAGGTTACAAAATGGTAACATAATAGAATAATGGCCCAGTCTGT